CCTGCCTGCAAGAATGAGGTCCTGAGTTTGATCCCCATGCCAAAACAAAAACCAAGAAAAACCCTTAAATTTCATTAAGATGCCCCAAAGTGAATTTTTTAGCGGAACTGAGAAACTCAGAAGTTAAGCACCACTCTCCTGAAGGTTTAAATGAAGTAGGGACTTCAACTAGCTAGAGGGATGGAAATCAGAGGATGCAGGAAAACGCGTCTGCATTTGCTTTGAGTTGATAGCTTTATCATTTTAATGTGAACTGGTCTGCTCCTTAAATTTAGAGGCTTGAGGTCAGCATGCAGTAAAGACAAAGAGATCCAATAGCATTTTCAAATCTCAGATAACAGATCAAAAAAGCATTAAAATTAAGGACCAATGTGAGAGATCAGTAATGCATTGTTATTGCTCTGAGTTGGGTAGAAATTATTGTATTTCTGCAGCGTGTGCTCCTGGGACACTTGCTGCTCAGACCAATGTGTCATAGGCATTTATCACCCTTCACATACATATTTGTCAGCCACTTCTAAGCAGAGGGGACAATATTCAGGTCAAAACAATACAACTATATATCCTACCCTGTTAGTTTACTTTTCAAGCAGAGATGTTGTTGCGATTATTTGATCAAAATCTATGTTGTCATTCAAAAGCAGCAGTTTTTGTGTGTGTGTTGTTTGATCTCCAAATTAAAATAGTTTTTTCCTTTTAATTTCCCATGCTGGCAATTTTTGGTACAGGGTCTTATATTACATAGTATGGCATGACAATAATTCAGAATGTCATGAGTATTTTTTGAATTCTTCCCAGTTTACTGCATTATTAAATATTACATAAATTATTCAATGTCTTTTATGTGAAATAAAAATTTTTTCTTGCATATAAGATCAAAACCACTTGCCAATATATATAAAACTACAGAATAGATATGACATATCTTTCTTTTTTCCAAAAATGGCTTTCCTATAGGTACTGCACTATTAACACACAAGGGAAAATGTGATGTCAAAAAATAGGAAATCAATTTAGTTTGTTTATACAAAAAATAGCCCTATTTGTTAATATTTACTGTTTATGTTTACATAGCCTTTATATTTTTACTGACTCTGTACCCTGAGATAAAGATTGGAGCTTGTACTTTCTTTCTGGTTATCTGGCCCCAGCAGAAGGTTGTCTGGGAATTGGAAGGGCAAGCATTTAAAACCCATATTTAATTAGCTCTCCTGGCCTGGTTTAAAAAAAAAAAAAAAAAACAAAAAACCAAAAAAGACAGCTTGTAGCTTGGAGACTGGAGTGCTCCCTTCTGGGCCCGCGCTCCACTGGGTGTGAGTGACTGCTTTAGACTCAAGGGGCACGAAGAGATGAGAAGGTGCCAGTGTTATGCAATGCTCCTGCTTGAGGCTCTATTATTCTCAAAGCTGATGAATCCTCAGAGTGCATATACAGAGTGCGTGAGTTATACTAAACAAATGACTTTGTTTAGGAAGATATGCTTGTTCATTCCATTATATATTAACCCCAAATTTGCTTTCACATAACTGCCAACCATTCTTCCTCATACTTTTTCCTGAGGCAACATAAACCAGTTCTTTCCCCAGAAGTGGCTGGGATGATTATGTATTTACACATTTGCATTTAAGTATAGAATATAAAGTCATTTCTGCAAGGTCAAAGTTTAGCCTTACTTGGGATCTAAAAGTACCTGTTTTGTGAAGCAGAATTAAGACGTGTTTTCTGTACCAGTAGTAACTCCCCATAAGGAATGTAATCATTATGTACTGCAAACATGCATTACTAGAAACTGAAAAAAAAAGTAAAAAATAATATTAATCAGGACATGTGATTATGCATAAGAAAATGAGAAATTGACATGGCAGTACATTTTGTAATTAAATTTCTTGGACAAACTGTATAATATTAATCTTTGTGTGTTTGATTCCTTTTAAAATGAGAATTCATTGGTAATTTCATCGGAATGTGTAAGAGTGTATATTACTGGGATAGGGTGCTTTGATAAAAGCCAGTGGAATATTCCTAACAATACCATTTTTTTAAAAAAAGAAAAGGCCACGGTGCAGTTAACATATTGCATGCCTGTTGGCATCTTATTCTAAAGCGCTTCCACACAAGAGTAATTTTAATAATTAGGACTGTCATTACGCTACCGCTGACAACTTCCAAATGTCTACAGGGAACTGAAGGCCAGTGTGTGTGTGTGTGTGTGTGTGTGTGTATGTGTGTACTCATTCACATGTGCTTTGTCCTGTACTCTCCAGCATTTTGTCTGATGTAAGATCAGAGCTTGCTAGTTACAATTAGCCTTCATGAATGAGGGCAAGTGAAGAAAAAGGAAAATAGCATTCTAAGATTATTTGAAATTAGGTATTTCGTATCTTATTATTGTTGCCTCCTACTTTAAAATATTTCCTCTTGAATATGGCAAAAAGTTAAAGGCAAATGCAATGCTTATAAATCCCAGCAGAAAAACAAACATCAACATAAATCATTTTCTTGTGTCAAGTTATTTTTAAAAAATCTTGTTTAAAATTCCTTGACATCCAGAAGGCACTCAGGAGTTGGGTATCAGAAACATGAAGTAAAAAGAGATAAATTCTCACTCCCACATGCACTGCATTAGAATTACCTGGGAAGATATTTAAAAACTATTGTCATGCTTACCAGAAGAATTCTGATTTTATTCACGTTAGGTAGGACTTGGCTATGGATCATTTTGACTATCTCCTTCATGTGATTCCAATGTGTAGCCAAGAATTAGAACAATTCATTTATTCTAAAGCAGCATGAATAAAAAATTTATAAGTAAATATATATATATATATATATATATATATATATATATATATATTGTTCATTCCATTATATATCAACCCCAAATTTGCTTTCACATAACTGCCAACCATTCTTCCTCATACTTTTTCCTGAGCCAACATAAACCAGTTCTTTCCCCGGAAGTGCCTGGGATGATTATGTATTTACACATTCGCATTAAAGTGTAGAATATAAAGTCATTTCTGCAAGGTCAAAGTTTAGTTCAGAAACATGAAGTAAAAAGAGATAGATTCTTACTCCCACATGCACTGCATTAGAATTACCTGGGAAGATATTTAAAAACTATTGTCATGCTTACCAGAAGAATTCTGATTTTATATTTATATATTTGAAATATATCAGATTTATATATCTGAAATATATATATATTTATATATAAATATAAATATATATATATATATATATATATATAAATTTATAAATATATATATAAATTGGTGGTCTTAGGCCTTGAGGTAGCTACCTTCGCAAAGATATTCTTTCTAACGAATAGTGGTACTCTAATCAGTTTCAAAAAAATGTGGGTTCTGCATAGTAAGTGTTTAGCTAAGTATACCCATTTAACTCATTTTTCTATTGTTTACCAGAAGACTGACTGAAAAACGTGTCCTAATATTTTATTTTTCCCCAATGCAAATTGAGCATTTCTAATTTTCATTTATTTGCAAGTGTTCTTAATATGGCATTGTGTTTTTTCAATTCAGAAATTAAAACAACTATAAGGAGTTCTAATTTTCATGTGAAATAAGATTATGTGCTACCTCTGCTGAAAACTTAAGGTATATACACATGAGGATAAAAATATACAATGAATGTTGAAATTAAAACATGTGTTACAGTAGAAGATATATTGCCATTAACCCCCCCAACCCTTCATTTTGAACACAAGTACTACATTCTTGTCACTTTCCAAAGCAGTTCAAGAAGCCTTCTTTCATGTCTTTATGAGGTGCGATAAAAAATTAGGTAAACGCTGCTGTCAAGTGCCATACAAAGGAAATTCAAGCTTATACAAATATTAATTTGTGTTGCCATTTGTCTTATGCATGATTCTGACCCTGAGACTTTTGGCTCTTCCTCAAAACAAAAATAACCATGAAATATAAGAATTTTGCTCAAGACACTGAGGCAGTCACAAGAGAGTAATTCGTGAGAACTTCCAGAGTGCCTTCAGGAAGAGATAACAGTGGGGGGATAAGTGTGTTTGGTGGGGGGTTAGTGGCAATAATTTTTACTGTAGTAAATAATTAAAAATTCACCATGTATTTCAGTCACATCTGTATAATCCAGATTTTCAAAGTTATGAAGCAAATGAAAACATTCATATAGTATAACATAAAACTGTGCAATCAAGAATGTATTCTTTATTTCCTGATGAAGGTAGCAGATAATTTAGAGGGAGAGAATCATACACAATCTGGATAACCAAGATTAATAATGAAGTTGTAGTTAGGGCCCAACTTTGGACTCTGTCCTTGGGAATGTGTACGTTACTGAAGTAGTGAATCATGAGCATATGACAAAAGGGAAAAGAAGAATTAACAAAAAGGAAATATGACTTTAGGGGCTAGTGAAACAAAAATTTGTTGTGATTGAAACTGTATCTTGTTAATTTATATAGGATTCAATTCATGTTGTAAGATTTGAGCAAACTAGAAAAAATTAGGTGAAATACAAATTAGAGACTAAATATCTTAAAATAATTAAACTTCAATATAAAAAGTAAGAGATGTTTATAGAGAAGATGCATAATAAAAAAACTGTGCAAGATTAATTGCAAAGCTGTCTTCCGTTCTTCCCTCTATTACAAGTCTTAGTTTCTTTGTTTACTATCTTCCTTAACCTTATTTTTTTCCAGGTACTTTATTGTTCTCCACAACATGCATCCCAACTGTATTCCTCCACAACACATTCTTAGTCACTGAGAATAAATCCTTTTTATAGCCACTCATTGTTTCTGTGTCTTTTTGTTCCTCCTTCAGATGCTGAGTGAATTCGAGCTTGCGGGGATCTATGCCACTAAATTTACCTAGCACTATCATAATTCCACAGGGCTGTACTGCGTCCCATCTGTAGCTATATTTGTGTTGCTAAAAATTTTCCCTTTAATTTGAATGACACTACAACATATCTCAGTATTTTAAAATTACTTCCTTTTACAGAAAGACAGCATTTTCCTACCTGTATCAAGAACCCCAGCCTCACCAGCAGAGAAGCCCCTCACAAAAGTCATCTGGATTTACTATCAGCAGTGTTGTGAGCTTACTCAGAAGAACAACTTTTGGCAGAAAGTATTCTAGAGTTTTCTTCAAAGGTGTGTATTTTTTCTTGAAAAATGTGAATAATTTTTCAACAAAATTTAGATAGTTGAGTATACCAAAGATCCATGTTACTTAATTTCTCAATTAGCAAAGCATTGCCTGCTTCTGTGAGATGGTGTGTATATCTCTGATCCATCTGGGTCTCATTTCTGACCTATATAATTTTAGCACTGTAAATTTTAAGAGACAATTTTTATTAGACTATTTATATCTAAAAGTAATATTATAATTATGTACACTCATTCATAAGTAGAGTCTAAAATAAATAAAAACATAAAAACTACAATTAAATGTTGTTGGATCATAAACCTCTAGGCTAGGAAGTTAATATATTGAATTTATCCTTAACTTTTAGGGCTGGTTGATGTGTTGAGTGACCTGCATGTGGTCAGAGGGAACCCATCTGCTTCCCTTGACTTTCTGTTTATTATCTAGTGCCCAGCACAGGACCTAGTACACCATACGTTCTTAGTAATTATTTATTAACGTATTCATACATTAAAAAACTGTTTCTCTTTTATCCTCAAGGTCAAGCCATACAAGGAAGAACTGTAGAAGTTGTGTATTTTGTATTTAAAACTGTGGTCCGAAACAACTGTGAGTTATAATTCAGTTTTCTACTGTGGGACTTTAATATAGTTCATTAAAAAATGATATTAGATAAGAGGAGGCATTTATGAATATGCTTTTAGTCTTCCTGACAACATAGTTTCACCATTAATTTAGACAATTCTCAGTAAAGTGTGTTTATTTTCATTGTATTAACAGGAAATCAAAATGTTTGAATAAGGGATGAGAAGCCATGCTGAGTGGTAGTTCTTCATTTTACCTCCTTTTCTTCTTTTTTTTTTTTTTTTACAAAAATAAATGCTATGCATTTAAAAATTTTTTAAATGTTTACACTTTTTAAATTATATATTCCTTTTCTAACAATAATTTCTCAAATCCTTTTTAATAGAAAAGGAAAGTCTGCTTCTTGAGTTCCTTATCTTACACACTCTTCAAAACAATATTTATTGTTTTATTCATTTAGTTTTTTCATTGTTATTTTATGAGAAAAAACTGAACATTAAAGAAAAAATAATTGCTTTTGCAAAAACCTATTGAATTTGTCATCCTCCTAATCCCTAAGGAAGTGTGATGAGTAACTGAGACATAATCTAGCATTGACTACTTAGGGTCCCAGTGCTTAGGGTTTTCTTAAGTGTTATGCTTAGATGGCTATGTTCTTGCTGCTAGTGGAGCAATCTTGAAAATCCTGCTAGCTAGTGGGTTGCTGAACACGCTAATTCATTTACCTCTTAGCTCACTGTCTTCATGCATTATTCACAGGAAGTGTAAGCATGAAACATGAATAGTGCTTGTACAGGCAGAATAAAGGAAGTGATCCCCTACATTAGTGATAAGAAGTAAAAGAAACATTTGGCTACCTGTTTGATTCCCTTCTCTTGTTTTGGCTTCTTAGAATTTGTAATAGAGAAAGCATCAAGGTTCTAAGAAATTAGCCTGTCTCATTGCAGAGGCTTTGGAATATGTTTGATAGGTTGGGAATTTTGTCCTGCAGCCAGAGGCACCAAGATGGGCAGGGACCCTGAGCCTGGCCTAGTGCGTATTTCCAGGGAAGCAAGGACTGAACAGGAAAGTCTGCTTCTTGAGTTCCTTTTTTTGTCTTACACACTCATCAAAGCAGTGATATTTGAAATACCATTGTTTTTTTGTTTTTAAAGAGGGTGGAGTTTTTTCCCTCCAGAATGCAGAAAGGAGTCATCACAATTTTCTACTGAGATATTTCTCTCAAGTAAACTTTTTGGGGAAATTGTGATCAAGATTGTTTCCAATTTCTTTCACTTTTTGCCTGTTTCCTCCTTCTGTCTCATCCCTGGATAAATTAAACTGTTCTTGCTACAGTCTGCGATAGAGATGGAACCCTTTCTTCTCTTAGAAAAGTAAAAGTATTTGTTTTATAAATTTTGTGTCCTTGCATGTAGTGGTAAGATATTTTGCTCTGCTCATTTGCATTCTTAGTAATTAGGATATGTCAAATGAGAAAATTTTGGTTAGAATAATCCACCTTGGCATTGATGGGGAGCTAAGCCAGGTGCAACTGCTGATGGAAGAAACAAAACCTTCACTAGGTGTTATGAGAAATTACTAGAAGTGGGTAGAAGATGAAAACACAAGAAAAAACTCATCTAAGGTCTCATTTCAATTTCTCTGTAGGAAATAAGGAAGAATTTAACTGGAATGCATTGAACTGTCAGCTCAGCTTGAGAAAGTGGCTATCTTAAAAATATTGAGTCTTTTAATCTATGAACATGAATGTGTCTTAGCTTACTTTGATCTTTATTTTTCTACCAATGAACATTTTTTCCTTCTTAAAAGAACAGTGTTATCCTTCTTTCTGTTAAATTTATTTCTATATGTTTTATTCTTAATGCCATTGTCAGTAGATTTTTAAATTTTATTTTACAATTGTTGATTACTAGAATATAAAAATAATTTTGTATTGATCTTGTGCCTTACGTTCTTGCTAAAGTTTAGTAGTTTTATTAGTTTAGTTTACTGTAGCTTTTTTGGGATTTCTTTACATAGCCCTAGATTTTTTTGTTAGTAAAGACTATCTTCCCCTCTATTTATTATTTTTGTGCATATTTCTTAACATACTGGCTTGAATCTCAACTATTATGTCAGAGAAAATTTATTTTTGTAGACTGTTATCTATAGGAATAACGTTTTTAGTTAATTCTGGGAGGGAATTTATTGATCTCAAATATTGGAAGTGGGTTTGAACTCAGACTTCATTTAGGCAACCACTTTAGTTGTGTTTCACATCAACATCTCCATGAATCCTCACATTCCATGAACTTTGGCTTCTTTGAATCTTCTCATTTTTATTTCCCATGTTTAATAAATTCTTGTTCTTTGCTGTTGTCTGGAAATTTTTACTGCATGGCTTATGGTCTTTGTGCTTAACCTTCTTTTGACCAAAAACTATGACATGAATCTTTGTATGCAGTAGAAACTTATTTGTATGTGTAGAACTCTGTATGTGTAGAACTTTTGGTTCTTCATAGGGACAGTCACTGCATAAGTATTCTCCAGTAAAGCAACCTTGAAACCAAATGTTAAATGTCAACACTGTTTTTCTTTTGTTGGTATAGATGTAATGATCACATTCGTCATTGGCAATTTGTACCTGTGCATTATATCCTGCTTCTTTTTTCTCATTCCATTCTGCTCCTTTAATCCCTCTTCCCCTCCTTATTTACAAAAGCTTTCTTTCCAGTTTTCCCTTCTTTTCTCATTTATTTTTTCTTTTCCTTTCTCCCTCCTCATTCTTAGTTCCCCTTCTCATTTGAACATTTTCTTCCTATTTTACAGTATCTATTATATATTTTGGTCTTATTTACACTTTCAATTTCTTATACCAGAAAAACAACATAATATTTACATGTGTGTATGATTTATTTCACTAAACAGTATGGTTTCACTGGGCATGATGCCACATGCCTGTAATATCAGCACTTGGGAGTGTAAGGCAGGTGTATTATCTCAAGTATGAGGCCAGCCAGGGCTACATAACGAATTCAAGACTGACTTGAACTGCATAGGAAGTTCCTGTCTCAAAAAACAATAATAAAAATATCAGTAAACTTTTAAGGTATACCCATTTATTTAGAAAAGTCTCAAGTTTATCCTTTTGGCTGACTAGTACTCCACTGTATTGAAAACAGAGCAAGACAAAACAAAACAAAATCTTCTTTTTCCTTTCATTGGTTGATCAGCATTTGGACCTTTTCAAAGAGTTAGCTATTAATAACTGTGTTGCTACAAATATGGGTATGCATATGACATGATGCTTTAATTCTTTCATGAAAATACTAAGAAGGGGACTAGCTGAGTGAAATGGAATCTCTAGTTTTAATTTTTCGAGGAATCTCCAAGCTGATTTTACAGCGGTTGCACCAGTCTACAGGGCCCACCAACGGTGGAGAAGAATTCCTTTATCCCCACAGCCCAAGCAGCATTTTTATTGGATGTTTTCTTGATAATATTCATTCTTTCTGAAGTGAGATGGAATCTAATATTGTTTTAATTTGCATCTCAAATGATCAGAGATGTTGAACATTTTTTCATACATTGATTTGCCATTTCTACTTCATCTGAGTACATATTTATTTCAGATATCTATTTGTGATTGGATCTTTTAATTTAGAGGATCTGATTTTTTTTTAGTTCTTTGTATATTCTATATATTATTCTTTGAAGAATAGCTGGAAATTTTTTTTCCTACTTAGTGTGTTGTCTCTTTTTTCCATTTGTGATTTCTTTTGCTGTACAGGCTTTCTAATAAGATGAAATCCTACTCGTTGATTCTTTGTGATATTCCCTGTGTGATCAGGGTTTTTTTTTTTTTTTTGTCTTTTTCATTTTTTATTGGTACCAAGGATTGAACTCACGACCGCCTGCTTGCAAGGCAGGTGCTTATGCCGCTGAGCTAAATCCCCAGCCCCCGTGATCAGGGTTTTGTTCGTAAAGTTTTTGCCTACTACAATGTTGTACATTGGTAACTGGTAGTCAACTTAAACACCAGCTGAACTGAATCAGGTGAGTATGGATGGCCCACCTGAGGACTGTTGCCAACATCAAAAGATACCTGGAGAGGAAGAGTAGTGCTGTGGGTTCTCCTAAGTGTTGGTAATTGTTTGAAGCCATTGGTTCTGGAGGAGCTTGTTATGCTCACTCACCTCATATGAACTTAGCTGTTACCATTAGAGGAACTTGGGACCTTGTTGCTGAGAATGGCTGTGGTTCACTTTGGGGGTGCTCTGGTCCTTACTTTGAGCATTGCTCCCTGGCTCCAGAGGGGAAGGTGTGTGCTGTTTAATCTCCAGAAGTTTGTCACACTGCTTCTTGATATCTCCTTGGCTGTTCTCATTATTGAAGGAGCTCAGGACCTCATTGTCACAGAGGATGGCTGTGGTACTTTTCAGGGGAGCCTGAAAAGTCCTTATTTTGAGCGTTGCTTCTTGTCTCCAGTATAGAACCCTCAGGCTCCTGGTACAGATCCTTCCTGCTGGCATAGACCTTCTAGCTTCCACTGCTGATCTTTGGGCCCTCTCAGTGCAGGTCCATGAGATAGACTTGCTTGAGACATTGTTGTTGGCTCTAGGTTTTCAGTTGAAATCATGCAGGTTATTGCCATGTGATCCAGGCACTCAGCTGGAATTTCTAGATCTTTAATGTTATGGACAGATTTCCGGCACTTTCTTTGTCTTTTGTTTCTTGAGTGATCATTTTAAATAATGTTATAATTTATGTGTACTGTATGTAATTGTTCTCCTTGTAACCCCTGACTACAACAATGTCTTCAGGAGTTCTATATCTTCCAGCACATTTCATGTTTCTGTTTTAAGATTTACATCATTAATCCATTCCAATTTCAGTTTAATGCATGGTAAAGAATATGGGTCTAGTTTTAATCTTCCAGCATTATTTGTTAAAGAGGTCATCTTTCTTTCAGTGAAGTTGCTTGACTACTTTATCAAAAACAAGGTGGTTAATGTGTTTGGGCTTGGTTCTGTATCTTTTAATCT